GAAAGTTCCACCACCACACCCCCATATCTTTTATGTGCAAAGACAGACCGACAGATACATCTAACATCACAAGAGAGCTGTGAGGGTTCACACGTATGCTCTCAGAACCACAGGACACAGCTGGGGTCACTCGGCTGTAGTGGGGTGGGAAGGGATGATGGCCTAGGCAACAATGAAGACAGAGAAGAGAAGGATGAGTAGAGAGCCAGTCAACTTCCGCTGAGTGAAAACCCACCCCACAGTGGAACGGCTGTCTTAAGCAACATTATACTCTGGAGGGAAATAATCAGAAATCAGAACATGAGCCCAAAAGCAGCTCTGGAGGGTACTCGTCAGAAACAGTGTAGCGCTACGAAAACAGAGGAGAACTAGCCAATCAGAGCTACTCTAGATCGGAGAACCCGAGGGACAGACCCGCTCAGTCAAATGCATGACACAGAGACACCGGAAAACTCAACAGAGAGAGGCTGAGATGCAGACGTGGAGAAGAAACTCCCAGAGTGAGGCTAGCTGGTTCCCCTGATGTAGACAGCAACCAGGCGAGCTGCACAGGATATGACACAGAACACCAGGAAACTACCTAGAAAGGAAGGGCAAGCAAATCCACACTTCCAGGAAGGATCAATGACCTCATTCAGGGCTGGAGGGATTGAACTGCTCTTGCAGGGGGCCTGAACTCAGTTCCCAGCACCCATGTCAGGCAGCTCAGCTCCAAGAGGTCTGACGCCCTCTTCTGGCACCTCTGGAAAACACACACTTCAAAATAAAAATAAATATTTAAAATAATAATAAACACTGTTTAGGAGCGAGGGATCAACTCATCCCTGGGTTCTTCCCACAGCAATGCATAGACCAAATATGGCAGTCATGCCTATAATCCCATCATTTGGGATTTGGAGACAGGAGGATCAGGAGTTCAAGGTCATCCTCAGCTACTTTGTGAATTCAAGGTCAGCCTGGGTTATGTGAGACCCTGTTTCCAAAAATTTAACAACAACAACAACAACAAATAGTTGTGCTCTAGTGGCTGATGCAGGAGGAACAGTTATGGCCCCGCACTATGAAAGAGGAAAATTAGCATCTGAGCCCAAGGTGACAAAGAGACATTGCAAAATGCATTCACCCTTCACTGTTTGTGGACTCTGCTGGGAAATAAGTCAACTGGGGCTGGAGAGATGGCTCGGTGGTTGAGAGTACTGCCTGCTCTTCCAGAGATCCTGAGTTCAATTCCCAGCAACCACATGGCGGCTCACAGCCATCTGTAATGAGATCTGGTGCCCTCTTCTGGCCTGCAGGCATGCATACAGGCAGAACACTGTATACTTAATAATAAATAAATCTTTTTTTAAAAAAAAAAAAAAAAAAAAAAGAAGTAAGTCAACTGAAGAGAACTGATTTATAATTCCTAAACATTTTCATTTACAGATATGAACAAAGCAGGAAAAAAATCTAATTTGTACACACACATAACGCACACCTGTACCCTCTAGTACCCCAGCGGCAGGGAGCTCCTGCTTTGTAATCAGAGCTCCATACTGCCGTATGTTTTGTGCTGTGATTTTCACATGTTTTGTGTAAGTTATTTTGAAGAAATCCCCACCCCCTATCCTCCACTTAAAACAGACTTCCAGGGCTAGCGAGGTGGCCCAGTAGGTAAAGGCACTTGATACCACACCTGACGACCTGGGTTTGGCCCAGGAGCCCCACATGAAAGGAGAGAACCAGCTCGTACAAGTTGCTCTCTGACATCCACATAGTAACAACCTGTGCACACACTCATGCACATAACACACACACACACACACACACACACACACACACACGCACACCATGCAAACAAGTAGAATCAATTAATTTGTTGGTAAATGGGTTTCCAGCAGGGTGCTAACATGTATGATGATGGTATTGACTGCAGATAGGCTAAGCTGAAGAAGACACAGTATCCCTGGGTGTGGGTTCCAGTGCCACGGCCCTGAGTTCAGCATCCATGACTAAATATCCATGAACTACAGTGCTTTCTTTTTTTTAAAAAAAAAAAGATTTATTTATTTATTATGTATACAACATTCCTTTCATGTATGCTTGCATGCCAGAAGAGGGCACCAGATCTCATTATAGATGGCCGTGAGCCACCATGTGGTTGCTGGGAATTGAACTCAGGACCTCTGGAAGAGTAGTCAGTGCTCTTAACCTCTGAGCCATCTCTCCAGCTCCCAAACTACAGTGCTTTTACAGAGCAGACAGACCACACATGATGAGGCCCAGGAGGATATTCACATTCACAAGGAGGCTCTGCCTTTAGCAATGAACTCTGCCCAATGCAAGGTAAATAAAATAGGAACCTGCCAAAGAAAAGGCTGTGGCAAAGTCTCTGACCTTTCTTTTTCCTTTTCCCTTCCTTCCTTCCTTCCTTCCTTCCTTCCTTCCTTCCTTCCTTCCTTCCTTCCTTCCTTCCTTCCTTCCTTTTTCTTGCTTGCTTGCTTGTTTTTCGAGACAGGGTTTCTCTGTGTAGCACTGGCTGTCCTAGAACTCGTTCTGTAGGCCCGGCTGACCTTGAACTCAGAGATCCACCTGGCCTTGCCTCCCAAGTGCTAGGATTAAAGACGTGCACCACCACTGCCTGGCACTTCTGGCCTTTCCTAGAGTATTGAGGTGGGAACAGAGTGAGGATGACTTGGTGGTACTTGGGTGCAGGCTGGGCTGAGTGTTAAGTAAGGAATGCAAAATCTACAAGCAGAGCCCTTACAGAAGAAGAGGGAAGACAGACAAAGCATGGGGTAGGGGAGGAGGGAGGGAATTATGAATAGCTAGTACTACTCACCAAACCTGCCAAGACCCAGTCTGCAAATAAGTGACCCTCCTAAGGAAGCTGGGAAGGCAGGAAAGTGGGACACTCGCCAGTTAACCTTCTCCATCCCTCACCTTCAAGACAGAAATGGAGGGGGATGTGGAGGACTCCAGGCCCTAGGAAAAGCCTGGCTCCCAAGAAAAGGAGCCTGAATCTCCAAGTTTCTGCCTGGATGAGAACCTCCCATTTCCTCTTCCTGACAGAAGCAGAAGGGGGCGCTGTTCTAAGAGCCTGGGAGTTGAAGTGCAAACTCGGTTTAGCAATCCAGAAGCGGCCCAGGAAAAGCACAGCCAGGGAGGAAAACTCTAAGGGGAAACAGAAAATCTATCCCTCTTCATGGGTTTAATAATGCTTCCCTCTAGATGTCCTTAGACACCATCTTTCTTGGAGCAGCAACAACAAAAAAGATGAATGTTCATTGTTTCCTCACTGGCTTTTCTCCACTTAAATTCAAACGGATAATGTCAGAGATATTCATTAATGAATTGTGTGTGTGTGTGATCTGCACCCACGCAGCCCTCCCCACAGCCTGTCTTCAGGAGCTGGGTAACGGCAGCTTAGAGAGATGCTACCCCACCTCACCTGCCTCACCCTGCCACCCACCACCCTATCCCCCACCTCCCTTATCTCCCACTCGACTGTTCCACTCCCATCCCCATTTACCCCTCTACCCCATCCCCCAACAACCCACTCCCATCTGATTCACCCCACTACCCCACCACTCAATCTCCCACCTCCGTCATCCCACCACCCCCATGGCCACACCCCACCTCCCACCCTGTCACCCCACTACCCCACTTCACTTCCTTCATCCTGTCAGCCCAGAGCGCATTCCTCGCTGCCTCTCCTGGCCCTGTCATTAACTGACATCCCCTCTTGTCACAGACACCCAGACATGGAGCAGATTCTCCAAAGGCCCTAGCATGACCCGTGTGATGCCCCAGGCAGAGCCAGAGCCTGATCGTCCAGACCAGCAAAGCACCAACAATTCAGATCCCACCCTCATGGGAACTGAAGCTTATCTCTGCTGTGTGCTTCCAGTTTCATCAGAAAAGCCCCAAGGAGTTGAAGAACAAGAAGGAGAAAGGCAGAGAAAAATGAGAAAACACCAGGCCCAGGAACCTCCTGGGAAGTCACATATAAACACAACATCCATGGCTATCTATCACACCCAGCTTGCCTCCTCTCCCCAACCCAAGCAGCAGAAGCCGACATCCAGGGGGAGCAAGTCCATCCCCAGGGACAGAGCAGGGTGATCATTGTGGCCTGAGGACTTTTGGGACATCCCAGGACTGAGGAACAAGCAGGTAGTGGCTGGAGTAGTGTGGGGAAATGAGATCTACTCAGACCAGACTCCCCACCTCCAGGAAGGGGAGAGTAGCTGACAGGAGGCAGCAGGCTACCGTGCCTGCTGAGGCATCAACACTGCTGGTTGATACGCTCACCACTGTGCTTCATCTGTAAGACTAGAAATGGCTCCCGTGGGCCATTAGCTCTGAGGCCTGGGGCTTGGAGGCTTGACCTAGCAGAAGGCGCTTACTGTATAGCCTGGACATGGCTTGGTTACCCCCTAGGGTTGCCAGTTTCAAACCTAATCTCTGTCGAGAAGTATGAAAAGTATGGGAACTAAACTTAATGATGATGTTTGGAAGAGGGACTTTGGGGAGGGAGTAGAATGAGACGAAGTCAAGTCAGGGGGATCCAGTTCTCAAATCCCGGTAGATACAGGAGAACAGGGAGATACATTGGACATAAGCATGCATACAATCCCCCACTTTTTGCCCATGGCATCTTGGCTCACCCTAGGACTCTGCTAAAAAGACCACCACCCCGGATAGCCTTTAAGCTTGGCCCTCTAGAACCAAGGAACCCACCTAAACCTCTTTTCTTTATAAATTTCTCTGCAACAAGGTTTCTATAATGAATGCAGGAGGAATGGAGAGTGCTCAGTGAATATTGTGGGCTGCAGAGGGAAGGAAGAAGGGGGGGCTAAGGATGAGAAACATCTTAGAGCCACACAGGAACATGGGTCTAGAACACCAGCTCATAGGCCTAGGGTGGACCACAGGCCCCCACAGCCACCACTCAAGCCACTAGACACAGACATCCAAGCAGAGCGTGGACGCACATGCTGCTGCCCACAGGGACTCACCGTCTGCTGCAGATCCTGGATGAGTACTCGAATCACCAAGGTGTTGTCCTGGATCTCCTCCATCTTCGGGCCGCTTGGTTTCTCTGTGGTGGCCCGGATCGTGTCATAGATGGTCTCTTCTTTGGAACTATCTGACTCTGAGCCCATGGAATAGTCGGAGAAGCTCTGGGCCATCTCGTCCTCACTGGATGTGGGGCTGCGTGGCATGGTGCCTGGATCTCTGCGAAGGAAATAGACAGGAGAATAAATCAATACAAATACTGAGAGGACCCAGGGGCCCACTGAGACTAGTTCCTGGGTCTGCCAATGTGATCGCCAGTCCATGGAATCATCAGTCCATGGCACCCATGTGCTTGTACGTCAGATCCCTAAAAGTGGAAAGAACTGGGCACCTCTCTCCTCCTCCCCTGGGCCTGGGCAGAAGCATCAGTCAGGACCAGAACCGGGGAGGTCCCTCACACTGTGCTGAAGCTGCTCTGAAGGAGTCCCAGCTGGCTGCAGCAGCGGCCGCGACTATGGGAATTTACCGGATGGCAGCAGTGGTAGTTTGAAGCTGCCCACATAAGAGGAACAGCTACTGCTGGTTTTTCTTTGAGGCCAGGGTGGCAGCAGGAGGGGAAGGAATGCAGGCACCGGGTCAGAAGGCGGCAAGTCATGTTGTAATAACCCCCTACTTCAAACACAGAGCGGCTAGCAGCACAGAATAAAAATAGCCCAAAAAGATGAAGATAGACTCAGAAAGATCATTGCCAGGTCCAAGAGCACAACAGAGACCCAAGTCTTGAGCAGGCTGGAGCCAGGAGAGTTGGGGGTCCCCAAGGCAGAAGCTGGGGGAGCCCCTTCCTTAGAGCCAGTGCGGCGACAGCTCCAGTGCAAAAGTCCGGTCAGGCTGTAGACAGCTACCTCAGAGCAGGGCCGTAAGCGCGCACCAGGAAGGCCAACATGGCCAGGTGTGGCAGCAAAAACCTATAATACTAGCATTTAGGAGGTGGAAACAAGAGGGTTATGAGTTCAAAGTCAACCTCGGCATAATGAGTCTGAGGTCAGCCTGGGCTACAAGATCGGGAAATAAAAGCAAAGCGCCAAAGGGACCCAGAAAAGCCATCCTGTATTTGGTGGCTACAGAGGTGACACTGCCCCATCCCTAGGATAAATGCCTACACTGGGGGATTTCTGAGACCTGGCAGGGAATGTGCCACATCATACCAGCAGCTCCACCTGTATGGAAACTCTGTCAAGAAGGTGAAGGTCATGGGGCTGGGGTGTCCTGGGCCAGTGGGAATACATGGTCACCCTCATCACTCAGACTCTGCCTGGTCAAGCTGTGGTGCCCTCTGGCCACGGGTTCTACAGTTGTGCACAAATGAAACCTGATGACCCCAAACATGACTCCCGGCACAGGGGAGGAAACTTCCCGAATGAGCCACACAACCTCTTATGCCTGTGGCTGGAAAGACACAGGACAGCACTACAGACAGATGAACAGATTCACAGGACATCGTGCCAGGGAGGCATCAATGGTAAGGAAGTCTGGCATCTCAGAAGGCACCTCTCAGAAGGGCAGAGTTAGGAATGGCCGAATGGCCTCCACAGGGCTATGTGCTTGCCGGAAGGGCCCAGCCTAATAGGACAAGTGTCAACCTCTGGGAAGGCTGAACACACAAGCATCTCCTGTGTGCTGTAGTTACCCGGGGAGGACAAAGGTCCTCTTCTAAAAACAACTTTGATACTCATCATGTAGAAGACAGAGAGCCCAGGGGGCCCACATTACGGGCTGCTCCGAGCGGCCTCTCTCCAGCACTCCTCTCCCTGTGCTGGCTGTCCCGCAGACTGTCACCTGACATCAAGTCCCTTCTCTCATCTCCATTGTTCTTCTGCACAGATGCTACCCCAAAGCCAGTGCTTTAAACAAGCCTTTGAGTCACTCTCCACAGAGGCTTAGCCCAGGACGGGGAAGTGTAGGCTGCTGTGTCAACAGCCTTTTCTTCTGTGGATCACAGAGGCACAAAGCAGAGAACCGAGAATAGCAGTAAAGGGGTTTCCCTCCCTCTAGAAGGAGGGAGGAGGAAGGAAGGAGAGCGATCAATGGATGACAGATGGAGGGATATGTGGGGAGGCAGGTGGAGCAGGAGATGGATGGATGAGACACGAACAGCTGCCCGAGTCAGCGCATGAACGGATGAGAGGTAAATACGGATGAGATGTCTGAGTTAATGACTGAGTGAGTGGACGGAAGCTGGATGGACAGATGTGAGGATGGATGGATGTTGTAAGAATGGATAGTAAAGGATAGGTGGATAGGTGAGTGGGTAGGAGGGGACGGATGGATGGATGGTGTGAGGATGGATAGTAAAGGATAGGTGGATAGGTGAGTGGGTAGGAGGACTGTTTGTGCATGGATGAATATATGAATGGCTGGGGCAAGTGAGTAGGTAGAAGGATGAGTGACTAAACGGAAGAAGGGGAGAGAGGAGGGAGGGTGAGCAACAGATACCTAACTAGGTTCTTCATAATGCAAGGTAAATCCACTGTCGGTCATTCACACTGGGGGATGCCACTGTCCACAGTGCTTCTTCATGTCTGTCCATGAATGAACACACATTTCCCACACTCCAGTGATGCACTAACTGTCCTCACAGGGGGGAGGCAGTAACAGGCTCCACCAGGTGCACCTTCTGCCCATCACGTGTGCCAGGGCCACCATGTGTGCCAGGGCCACCATGTGTAAAGCCAGGTCGTCTTCTGGCCTCGTAACAAATTGGCACACAGCAGCATCACTCACAGGGACACAGTGGGTATCAGCATGGGCACCCAGCCAGTGCTCCTGAGTCGGGGTACTCCAGGAGAACCAGCTCATCTAACACAACCACTGCTTTGCCTTCTCCATAGGGATTCAAATACCACACTGTGTGCCCAGACTGCACCTGAAGGGTTGAGGGGTACCCAGGCTCCTTTCTCACTCTCCAGGCCCTCAGCTGACAGTGAGTTTTGGATAATTTCCAAACATGGTTGTCTCCTTGTGAACACACCACAATGCCAACCTTCTTCAAGACCTCAGGCTACAGCTACCCCAGGCCCAGTCATAGCCCACATGGCCACTTCCAAACAGCACTGGGCTGCAGTTACCCTGTAGCTCAGACAGAAACTGCAAGGGGCTCCTAGCCCCACCCTTCATCACTTCTGCACACAGTGAGGCCACTTGCCCTCACAGTCAGGCACCCTGAGGCACCTGCACCAACTTGCTAGCCCCATTAACCTTGGACCTGGGCTGGAGTTTGAGACTCTTCCCAAGTGACTTTAGATTGTATCACATTGATAATTAAAGTCAGCTACCATACCTACACACACACACACACACACACACCATTTAGTTAAAAAAGAAAGAAAGAAAGAAAGAAAGAAAGAAAGAAAGAAAGAAAGAAAGAAAAGAAAAGAAAAGAAAAGAAATGCTTGCCAATCTAAAGTGTTCATATGAAAACCCAGATACCTGGCATTTTCCCTATCATCAGGGATGCAGCCCTGACCTGTGGACACCAAAGGATAGGAGCTAGTGGCAGCGCTTCCCAGGGCCCAGTAACCCCACAGGGTCCTCAACCCTCAAAAACTCCCAGGTCACGTGATTACACTACTCCCCACGAGGTTCTTCAGTAGGATCTTCCCATGGAGACAGGAGCCGATATTCCCCATGGACCCGAAAGTGCTTCCTCTGGGGCCTCAGTCTTGCCCAGTCCACCCGCAGGGCCAGCCTCAGCAGTGAGCCCCCTCAACCAGCCAGGAAGGTTTGTAAGTAAAAATTCAAGAGTTCACCCTTTCACCCTGTGCACTACTCAGTTAAAATATCAGGGCAGGCCAGGTCATGGTGCTGCATGCTTTTAATCTCAGCACTTGAGAAGCGGAGGCAGAAGGATCTCTATGAGGTTCAGGCAATCTGGTCTACATAGTGAGATCATGTCTCAAAATTAATTAATCTACCTATCTCAAGGAAAACTAGTCTTACTGTATTCACTATCTGAACAGTGTTCATGATTCCTGAGATCAGCCACCCAAGGATCCAGAAATGCCCCCGAAGTGGGTGATTGAAGGACCCGGCTACCCCTGCATCTTGGTAAGGCCCCTGCCTGGCTATCCCTGCATCTCGGTTAAGCACCAGCCTGGCTACCCCTGCATCTTGAAAAGGTGCCTGCCTGGCTACCCCTGCATCTCGGTTAGGCACCAGCCCAGCTAACCCTGCATCTTGGTAAGGTGCCTGCCTGGCTACCCACGCATCTCTGTTAGGCACCGGCCCGGCCACCCCTGCATCCCCTGCATCTTGGTTAGGTTCCAGCTTCAAAGCAACTTTTAGCACTCACTTGTTCATTCATCCGCCATCCTTGTATGGACTTATTTTTATTATGTGTTTCTGTACAGGCCCAAGAGTACAGATTTCACATGAGTGCAGGTGTCCATGGAGACCAGAAGAGGACATCGGAGCCCCTGCAAGCTGCGGGGACAGAACTCCGGTCTTCTGAAGAGCTTGCTCTTAAGCGCTGGGCAAGCTCTCCTGTTGTTCACCACCTGTGTGAGAGTTAGCGGAGATCTCTACTCAAACCTGACCTGACGTTATCACAAGGTACAGATCCCTCGCCCCTAGGGATGCCAGACTTTTGGGGGCTTGAGAATATTTGCATATATGTGATGAAACGCCCTGTGGATGGGACTCAGGTCTGAACATGAATTCATTTGTGTGTCACATGTGTGTCGCCTGGTGCTGATTTTGCACACCACAGCCAAGTGCACCCGTGTTTCAGCTACAGTCCATGCCCTGAGGTCAGGAGAGGAATTTGACACTCATGTCTTAATGTTTCTGCTCAGGAAGGCTTGGCTATCAAAGTGCTCTGGGTTTACGGGCTTAAGGGGTGCTGAGCTGGCGAGATAATTACACGCTCTGTCAGGATTTCCACCCAGGCCTGTGGTTCTGAAGAAACTATTCATGCTCTCATCCTGGCTGAGCGGTCTTTTCAAACACAGCGGGGCCAGGCCAGAAATTCTTATTGAACTGCCTCACCAAGGCTACTGCACTTTAAATGCTCTCAGGTGGCCTAACAATGCCTGCAGGCTGACAGCTGTGGGTTGGAGTCACGGGTCCTCATTAACCTTGAGGCGACCTTGTGCTCTAACTTCAGAACAGTTGGAGTTTCACAGAGGAGACGAGCATGGATCAGCTCCTCCTCAGAGTCAGAG